TCTCTGTTCTTAGTATGTCCACCAAACCGAATATATTTTTCCTACCCTTTAAAAAATTAGCTTAGCTTTTTAGTACAGTTGCTGAAAAATGAAATGGGAGATGAAATGAAACAAATGGGCAATTTTACTCTAAGGCCCCAGTCAATCCCTATGAGGCCTAGCAATCAGAAATTTTAAGAAGCACATGTGGTGGTGTTAGACTTTAAAAATCTCATGTTAGCATTCTGCAAGGCACTTCCATATACTCAACTCACTGAGTGCCTTGTGGGTGTTACCAGTGGGGCCACGTGCTGAGAGAACGCAAAGAGGTGTAGGGCGTCGCTCCTTCCTCAGTGAGATTTCAATCCGGGTGAGGCCCTTAAACTTGTAATCAAAGCCTTTGAGACACATTTATTGATTTCATACTCTGTGTCAGGCACTTTGAAGTTTATAACGGGGACACAAGAGTCAAAGAAGTGGATATAATCAGTGCCACCAGAAGGGGAGCAGGAAAACCTTTACAGAGAAGATGGTGCCTGAGGTGTCTCAAAAGACAAAATAGTATTCCCCTGTTGGAAGAAGAGGAAGAGGACATTTTAGATTGGGCGAGTAGAGAAATGTGTTAACATGGAACATCGTGCATGGTGCTTCTTGTTTATTCTTTCTGTGAGAGAAAGAATTATATTCCATTTTCTTAAGGCAAGAAAATTGAAGCTCAGAGAGATTAATTAATTTTTCCAAAGACTCATACTAGCCAGTGGCAGAGCTAAAGTCATTTCTGGTCAGCTTTCTGGTCACCCTGATTTTAAGATTCATATTATTCCTGTCATGATGCAGTTTGTGTCCTTATTTTGAATAAAACCTCTTCCAAACTTCTGACAACTTTTTAGTGTTTTGTAACAGCTGCATTCTTGGTCCTTCTCTTGTGAGGACCTCCACACTGGTTATTTTGTGATATTCACGAGACTTTGCTGGGACAGACTTTCCGTTGCTTGGGTTGACACTGTCTGGGAAACTCTACCGTAGTCGCCCAACCTTTATTGTGCTTTTTTAAATGGGTAAGTTACTGGTAGAGTTTGCCAAAGAGGCCTGGACACGATGGGAGAAAGTTGTCTGCTGAAGGGTATTCGTTTGAGTTCCATTGACTGAGACATTTCTCATAAAAAAAATTGTTTGTGTGTGTTTTTAAGTAATCCATAACACAAGAGCCTTTTGTGGTAATGAGACCCAGATTTCCTTCTGTGTCTGTATCCCTTTATGCAGGCATGATTTCTTGGAAAGGAGAGACCATATGTCAAACAGTGTCTCATTGAGAACATGGAATGATTCCATAGATGCTGTGGCAGTGATTAGAGTCTTAAATATTTTGTCCTGTCTGGATCAGTGGGTGCTTGGTTCCTTAACAAATCAGCTGCCTCAGTGATTGGGAAGGCAGGATGGTAAGAGCCTTTAGATCACTTATTGTACTTGGATGCATTTGAATATTAATAGTTTGTCCAACATATAAGTCAAAGGGGCATTTGAATTAATTTTTAATATTGTCATGGCCGTTGTGGGTTGATGGTATTTATTATCATAAAAATTACATGAAAGCTGCTGCTCTCAATAACTCTCCTACATTTAAAAAGCAAATCAGAAATTATTATTAGGAGGAAACTGCAGATTTTTGTTTTGTTTTTAAGCCTCCGAAAACACTGTTTAAATTAGAATCTTTTTCACACACCTGAGTCTTACAGTTTATTCCTGTTCCTCCCTGAATCCTTCCACTCTCCCCCAACTTCTTCTCACCAACAAACCTATCATCTGTAACCTTTCTCACCCCCAGAGCAGCATAAGGAACACAAACCTCTGCTCTGCATTAGGTGTTAGGGACGTCATTAATGCTTACTGGAAAAGCACACCCCAGAGAGCCAGGTTTTGGCTTTGGCAGGTAGAAAGTCTTTTAGATCTTGGAATGCTGGAAACCTTAAACCTTTTGGTTTTTTAGCTGAAGTGATTGGCAACAGAAAGTGACATCTAAGGTTCGTGGCCAGCAATAGCCATAATTAACCACATGAGCTCACATTTTCCCACTGGAGGTTCAGTGGTCTTGGGGTGATGAAAGTGACTTCCCTACCAGGAGGTGGTTTTCCTTTTGAGGGTATTGGAATACCCTTGGGCCCTGTAATGCCTCACCCGTGGTCCTTTAAAATGCTTTTTAATATAAAGCTTCAATATTGGAAATCTAACACCATGGTGTTTAACAGTGAGGCTGTGCCTGAGCACTGTGGCCTGGAATGGGAAACAACCTGGGGCTTTTAATAGGTGGAGCAGGGAGTCTTGTGGAAACAATGGTGAGTGCAAATAACCAGAATCAAAACTGATTTCCAGTATTATCCAGTTTCCAGGTTTTGCTGTTTCTGTTTGGATTTTTATTTCCATGTGTAGGCTTCTCTTAGAGGTGCCTTTTTATCTTAAATTTAAGCAAAATTGTTTGGGTCATTGAAGAGAGGTGATGTTAGAAGACTAGTTTTTTTTCTTTTAGTAGATATGTGGACATGGTCTCAAGATTTGCAAACTCACTTCCTTAGTATTACACTTTTAGAAACATGGAAAAATGTAGGTGCTTGCATGTTTAGCATTGGATAGGGTTTTTTTTTAAGCACTCATAGTTTGTATTTGACCTGTTTGGAAGACTAATTAAGAGGCCTTCTCCTGCTTTCCAGAAGTTTGCAAATTCTTTTCTGTCTGGCCACATAGGAAAGGAAAAGCTTAGTGTGAAGCATATATAGGAAAGTACAAACTTAGTGCAGCATTATCCTTCATTACTGTAAATCGTCTACTTCTTCTTCTCCTCTCCCTTCTAAAAGAAGGTTCTTAGAGACCAAGTCCTTTTACTGATAGGAATATTTCAAATTCCATAAGCCCTATCCTTTATGGAAAGCAGGAGACGCAGGAGTCAGTGACCTGTGATGGAAGTCCTGTCCCGGCTCTGACTCCAGGGATAGAGGTATTTTGGAGGGCACAGGTGTATATATAATCCTCTGTCTTATTCCATCACTCGTGGATTTTACCTGTATGGTTCTGAGCAAGTCACTTACACCACCTAAATCATTTGTCTCATCTCCAAATTGATAGCATCAGACTCAGTGATTTCTAAGGTTTCTCCTAGCTCTAACATTATATATGATGATTAAACTGTAATGAATTTACAGTGTAATGTAATATAATTTCAGTCTCTAAGGTGGTGTGATATACAGACTTCAAAAGAAGTAAAGCATTATATTACTCAAGGTACTTGGGTGGGACTGGGGCAAGAGGACATGGTCTCTAAGAACGATTAGGATTCTTGTCAATTAGGGCATGACTGAATAGTCTGTTGAAATGAATGCTGTTTCTTCCTTCCTTCCTTCCTTCTTTCCTTCCTATCAGTTTGGTTTGAGAGAACATCAAACATTAGTGTGAGAAGCCCATTCTCAGTCTAACACAGTACAAGTCACTAGGAACTCTGTGTTCTTTGCCCTTACAAGAAAAGTGTGAAGGAACTGAGGTAGTATGTGTGTGTCATCTGCTTGGTACAGTCTAGGTTCCCAAGTTAAGAAATTGTTACGTGTTCCACACTAAACTTCTGAGAGAGTATGGTCAAGTGCTTAAGGATGGAGGTGTTGTTGTCAGGCCAACCTCTATTGTAGTTCTGGAGTACTTGAGACAGATCCTTAACTTCTTTGACCCTTAGTTTCTTCATCTATGAAATGAACAAATAGCATATAAAAAGGTGCCCAGTTTAGTAATTGTTGATGAATTAATGACTGTCATAAAGTACTATAGTCAGTTCTAGGCAGAAGAGAAGTACACAATGAAAGTTACCTATTTTTATAGTGTTTGATTGTACTATAAAGAAACCAAGAATCTGCCACTATGGTCAGTGGTGGAAAACGAACTGGTGAATAGATCACGTAGGGCCGTTCCTACAACAAGAAGGTAGTCCTTAGATAATAAGTATTAAAAAGAATTTGAAAAACATTTCTAGTAATTGAAGTTTAGGTACCCTTAGAAATCAGGAAACACTCAAGCCAAAGATATCTCAATTATTTCCGCTTTTCTCTAGCCAGAGATAGTCTAGATTATGTGTTAAATCTTTCAGAGTGTGTATATGTGAACTTTTAAAAGTATTTTGGGAATACTGTATACCAAACAGTTACTTTTTTGTTCCTCCTGGGGCAGGCTTAAAATGTTTTGTTATATTACTCTGTTCTGAGTACCTGGTGATTGTTATCACTTGATAGGTAGTAGCAGAAATCTAGATGATGAGTTTAAAATGTAATTATCTGTGACTTCTTAAAAGATAAATGCTTTTGTTTGACTGTAGGGCACATACATTTTTTTCCCCAAAGTTGCTTCCACCTAAATTGCATAAATAGGATATATAGTAACTCTGGTTTTTGACATTTTACTTTTACTGTTTAAAATATTTTTCCTCCCTATCCTGTTTCAAATTTTGCAGTCTTATTTATGCAACACTATCTTTATGGATATTGAGAACATACCCCATAAGGATACATCATGCTTTTTTACTTCACCTTAGACTTAATTTGTACAATTGTACAACTATATTGATTATAAAGTTGTTAATGAATAAAATATATAGTGGTCATATAATGCATTATGATTAAACCTCTGAAACTAATGTTCACATCATATGATAGACTAGATAGTATTTCTGTCTTTAAAAAAAAAATGCCAGGAAGGAGAGAAAGTACTGGGTATTTGAGTATACTAAGAACTCTTTCTTAAGATATATATATGGAATGTTAATCTCATCACAGCAATTACTGAGCAATAGTTTTTAAATATAGTAGATGAAATTTCAGGTCTTGTTAGTATGTTTAGATTTGTATAAAGTTCATGTAATTTAGATGTGATTAATATTTTATTTACCAGTTATTTCTTATAAAATCTCTTGAAATTGATTTACTATGATCTTGTAGCTACATTTATAAGGTAAATATTTGTTTTCTCTTTCTCTGCTTTTGAATTTACAGCAAAAGATGATGGAAGCATTGCTGTTGCCCTTGGTTACACAGCACATTTGGTCTCCATGATTTCCTTTTTCTTACAAGTGCCCCTAAGATATCCTATAATTCATAAGGGATCTAGATCAACAATCAAAGATAATATCAATGATAAGCTGACTGAAAAGGAGAGAGAGTAAGTATCTTTTTTTAATGTACTTTCAACATAAGCCACCTTGAAACATGGAGTATGTTAAAAATATGAAATGTGACCTAGACTGTGCTGATTTTTCATGTATCCTTTGTGAAGTGCTCCATTTCTTTTAAATAGAATGTGATTATTAATTTAGGTTATAATAAATAAAATCTTACATTTCCTAAAATTGTTAATGATAGCAGGGTTGACTCATTTAATTTGGTTTTGTGAGAAACAAGTAGTATATACTCTGCAGATATTCATGTAATACCTTTTTCCTGCCAGTCACCAAGTGAAATGATTAAATATTTGTCAGACAAGCAAGAAGAGCATAAAAGACAGAGCAGCAGGTTGTACATGTCTGAAAAGAAGATTATTGAACTGGAAAAGAGGTCAGCAGAAAATATATTGATTGAAGACATAAAGAACACAAGAGATGGATTATATAGAAAAGTGCTAGACTTATGTAGGACCCAATGAAAATGTCTAAGATATGTATAATTGGGATCACAAGGAGGGAGAAGAAAATACATAGGGTAAATGCATTGTTTTAAGAGTTAGTGACAGAATTTTTCAAATTTGATGAAACACATTAAGCTACAAATTCTAGAAGCATTAAATACAACCCATTATAAGTATAAAGCAAACATACTTAGGGGAGTTACAGTAAAATAGCTGAAAACCAAAGATGAAGTGAAAATATTAAAAGTGCCTGGAAGAAAAAGACAGATTAACATCAAAGAGCATTAATTAGACTGAAAGCTAATTTCCCAATAGAATCTTTAGGAACCATAAAGGTGATGCCATGATATTTTGAAAGTACTATAAAACAGGTATGCCTGGGTGGTGCAGTCAGTTAAGCGTCCAGCTTTTGGTTTTGGCTCAGGTTCTGATCTCAGGGTCATGAGATGGAGCCCAGTGTCAAGCTCCATGCTCGGTGCAGAGTCTCCTTGGGTTTCTCTCTCCTACTCCCTCTGCTACTTCCCACTCCCCCTTAAATAAATAAATCTTTTTTTTTTTTTTAAGTGCTATAAAACAGTACTGCCACCTTAGAATTCTATACTCAGTAAATATATCCTTCAAATTAAAGGCAAAATAAAAGACATTTCAGACCATCAAAACTGAGAAGGTGCATCTCAGCAGACCTATACTAAGAGAAATACTAAACACAGAATAAAAACAAACATAGCACAGAAACATGGAAATATTTGAGGAAGGATAAAAGACAATAGAAAGGGTAAGTATGTGCAATGCCTGGGTGGCTCAGTCAGTTAAGCATCTGCCTTTGACTCAGGTTATGATCCCAGGGTCCTGGGATCAAGTCCCACTTTGGGCTCCTTGCTCGGTGGGGAGCCTGTTTCTCCCTCTGCCTGCCACTCCTCCTGCTTGTGCACTCTCTCTGTCTGACAAATAAACAAAATCTTAAAAAAAAAAAAAAGGCGTAAGTATGAGTATATCTAAATTAATTTTGACTACAAAACAAATGATAGGGTCATAAAATATGAAATACATACACATAATACATATGTGGAATTATAATCCATGACTAACACAAAAGTTGCAAAGTGGAAATGGAGTTAAAGTAGTCCAAGATCCTGGCATTGTCTGGAAAAGGGTAAAGATACTGCTTTATAGTAAACTACTAATCAAGTATGTCGTAATCTCATAACTATTAAAAGAATTGTTGGGTATAAGCAAAAAATTAATAGATGATATAAATAAAAAAAAATTTTGAATACTTTATTAATCCAAAACAAGGCAAGAAAAGAAAGGAAAATGAACATTAAATAAGTGGTACAAATAGTGAATTTGTACTTTATGAACTCAGACGTGTTCTCGAGTTAAATTAAATGTAAATGTCATTAATATACCATTTAAAAATAAGGATTGTCAGGCTGAATAAAAAACTATACTTAGGGGCGCCTGGGTGGCTCAGTGGGTTGAAGCCTCTGCTTTCAGCTCAGGTCATGATCCCAGGGTTCTGGGTTCGAGCCCCACATCGGGCTAACTGCTCGGCAGGGACCCTGCTTCCCCTCCTCTCTCTCTGCCTGCCTTTCTGCCTACTTGTGATCTCTGTCAAATAAATAAATAAAATCTTTAAAAAAAAAAAAGAATTTTTTTTTTACTAATTATTAGAAAAAGCAGATAAAACAATCAGAATCTAAAAGACTTGAGCAGTGCAATGAACTAGACCTGAGTTATGGGTAAAGAATAATGCACCAATGGCTATAGAATGTACATTCTTTTTCTTTTATTATTATAATGTTCAGATAGCCAAACATATATATAGTACATCATTCGGTTTTGATGTAGTGTTCAACAATTCATTAGTTGCATGTAACAACAAGTACATTCTTTTTTAAGTATTCATGTGACATTTACCAAAATTGATTATCCTGGGCCTCAACAAATTTCAAGAGATTGAAGTAATTTACAGTATGTTTACTGACCATGGTGGAAATTAATAGAGATCAATAATAAAATCCCCAAACGTGTAGGTATTAAACAATGTACTTCTGTAAAACCTATAGGCCAAAGAAGGAACTATATAAAGGAAGTTTGAAATTGTTTTAAACTAAATGATAAGAGAATATAGCATATAAAAGCTTGTAAGTTAAAGCTAAATCTGTTCCCAGAAGGAAATTTATTTCCTTAAAAGTGTGCATTAGGGAAAAAGAAATATTTAGAAATCATTCATCTAAGTCTCCTTTTGAAATCCCCAGAGAAAGAAGAGTTCATTAAACCCTAAGAAGTTAGAAGGAAGGAAAGAAGGGTAAGAACAGAAATTAGATGGACAACTGAACAATGGAAAAAAAATACAGGCAAAACGTCTAGCCTTTGGGACGCCTGGGTGGCTCAGTTGGTTAAGTGTCTGCCTTTGGCTCAGGTCATGATCCCAGGGTCCTGGGATCGAGTCCTGCATCAGTTCTTGCTTGGCAGAGATCCTGCTTCTCCCTCTGCCTGCCTCTCTCCCTGCTTGTGCGCTCTCTTCCTCTCTCTCTGGCATATAAATAAGTAAAATCTTTATTTTAAAAAAAAAAGTTCTAGTCTTTGAAACAACTGGAAAATGGATAAACCCTTAGAAAGAGGAGACAGGCAAAACAGCTAGTATAAGTAAAGGGGGGGAAAGATGTCACTACAGATATATAGACATTAAAAGGTAAGATCTTAGGAACAACATTATGCCTATCAATTTGAAATTCAATGCAATTGGCTACATTTCTAGAAAAAGACAACTTTCCAAAACTGTTATGTGAATGATGGAGTTTAGAAAACACTACACTTGGCTAAAGGGAAAGTAGATATAGATGATTCTAGGTCAGTTATTCTCAACACTGGCCGAGCATTATTGTCATCTGGGGAGCCTTTAAAAATGAGCTTCTGACCCCCAGATTCCTGGCTTCTTCCCCAGAAATTCTGATTCAGTTAACAGGGCCCAGACATGAGGGGTTTTTTTTTTGGTTGTTTTTTTTTTTTTTTTAAAGCTCCTGAAGTGATTTTAATGTGCAGTTGGGGTGAAAACTGCTGTTCTAGATTGAGAGACTATTGTATTCATAGTAATGAAAAAAATGAAATATCCTCCAGTATATTTAGGAAACTGCAAGAGTAGAGGCAGGAAAGATAGGCACCAAATGGAAGAATTTAGTGCTGTATCTGGTACGACAGTGACCCTTGGCTTATAGATAGAGGGCAGGGAACACGTGTTTAGTTTAAGTCAGTGCCTTTTAAATCCACTGATTAGTTGATAGCTGAAGTATTTTTTTTCAGTTTCAGAAACATAAAGAGATCCTGAAACATACATGTATTACAGAAGGGGACATTGGTGTGTTTTCTTTTCTCTTCTAAAAAATGGATGTGAAATTCACATAAGATTAACTTTTTTAAAGTGTACAGTTCAGTGGCATTTAATATGTTTGCAGTGTTGTGCAACCACCACCTCTGTCTGGTTGCAAAACAATTCATGACCCAAAAGAAAACCCTGTACTCTTAAGCAGTCACTCCCTATTCTTCCCCCATCCAGTGCCCCCTTCCCCCAACCCCTGGTAGTGACCCATCTGCTTTCTGTCTATGTAGCTTTATCTATTCTGGATATTCCATATAAATGGAATCATATAATATGTGACCTTTTGTTTAAGGTTTCTTTCACTTAGCTTGTGTTTTCAGGGTATCCATGTTGTAGCAGAATCAGTACTTAGTTCACATTTACAGCCAAATGATATTCCATTGAATGTAATACCACATTTTGTTCATCCATTTATCTGTTGACAGACATTTGGGTTATAGCCACCTTTGGCAGTTGTGACTAGTGCTGTATGAGCATTCATGTACACGTATGTGAGTATCCACTTTCAGTTCTTTTGAATATACATCTTGGAGTAGAATTGCTGGGTCATATGGTAATTCTATGTTTAACTCTTTGAGGAGCCTCCAAATTGTTTTCCACAGCAGCCACACCAGTTTACATTTCCAGTGTGAAGTAGTATATCATTGTAATTTTCATTTGTATTTCCTTAATGACTAATGATGTTAAGCATCTTTTCATGTCCTTGCTGCCATTTGTTTATTTTCTTTGGAGAAATATCTGTCCAAGTCTTCTGCCTGGTTTTCAATTGGATCATTCATTTTTTTTTTTTAATTGTTGAACAGTAAGACTTCTTTATGTATTCTGGATACTAGATCCTTATCATTACATCATTTGTAAGTATTTTCTTCCCATTCTCTGGGTGGTTGTTAGAGTTTAAGGCCTAAAACTAAGGTATGTATTATATGCTGCCTTGACGCCTGGTGAAACCTGGAAGGCCTAGAATATCCCCTCCCTTTGCTGCTCCTGTGGATAAAGGTCCCTTATCTAAACAAGACTCTTCCTTATTCAGGGACATAGGTGTCGTTTCTTCTAATTCCTCAGTGGTAAATTTCAGTTCCTTACCAGTTGGGGGATTGTGGAAAGAAACCAATCACATCTTCCCACAAGGACCAGTCAGCACTGCCTCCTTTTAATA